GATGAACATATGCTTCTTCTTCTTCTATGATGTCATGGCGGTCCGCAAACAAACGTTTAAAGTGCATGCCGCCACCTACTGTGATGGAATGTACTATCAGTCATGATCTGCCCAATTCTGTACTCCCATGCAAATAAAATTCTAAACCAAATAAATCCCTCACGTCTACCACACCGTGCCCCCTCCCCCGAAAACCCTTCCCCAACCCCATTAAACTTGATCTATATCATGCTGAAACACTCCACCATTAGGATTGTTCAGTATGTCAACAACCATTTCAACAGTAACATCTGTTACCCCCAACATCTATTTTGTCATCTCCACAATAACCTTCAACCTAGCATTTCTGCTTTCCACAACCCAAGTTGTATTGAAAACCTTACCAATAAAAGCTATGAAGTCAACTTTATTCATTATCAATGTGTCCTTTGACAACGCACATTCATGAGCACAATATTTCTGAACAGGCCTTGAAACCATGCCAGGACCATCGGAAGCACCAGCCCCGACAGTAGGTCCACTTACTACAGGTACATCCATGTAAGCTCCATCAGTCCGCACTGTAGTTCTACCAATCTGTTTTACAGCCTCTGCATATGATACATCATGACTGATTCTGTATCTCTGAGCCTCTCTAGCCTCTCTCTGTACCTGGCATCCACCAAATGCTGCACTGTGTTCTCCCCCACAATTACAGCACTTACAGCACCTTCACATTGCTTCCACATTCACCGTAATCATGTGCCCGTCCACACTTGGCACATCTTTTCTTTCCTTTACACTGAGCAGCTACATGTCCCATTTTTTGGCATTTAAAACACCGCAGTGCATATGGGACAAATTCTCTAACATTGAAACTAAGGAATCCTATCTGTACTTTTCCCGGCAAGACTTTCTCAAACCTCAGCATCACTGATAAGCTTTCACTTCTTTGACCCTCTTTCCTACTGATCAACCTTTTGGCCTCAATCACACTGCCTCCCTTCACATTTTCTTTAATATCATCTGTGGACATAGATATTGGGACCCCAGTGATGACCCCCTCAATCTAGCATAAGCACCAGGGACATGGCTTTTAATCTTCTTCCCATTAAGCTTTTCCATTTTCAGAATCTTCTCTTGCTGAGCCTGGCTACCACACAATATTAACAATCTACCATTTCCAATGAAACGAGCTAATTTCACTTCACCTACCACTTTCTCTACGGCATTAGTTAGTCAGATTGTGTGTAAGTGAGGCCCTGTGGTCTCATCAAATACTATCACCACTTTCCACTCCAACACATCACTACTCTTGCTTCCTACCTTGGCCCTCTTCATGCTTTCTATACTAGACGCTCCACTGCTTTCTGTATCATGATCTCTCTTCTTCCTGTGTCTTTCCACTACCGACCATTCCGGTCCTTGACCCTCATCCTCCCGCTCCATACCATCAGAACTGACACCCATATTGTTTGAATTCCAGCACAGCTGTTGCTTCACAAAAATGTTCTGCGTTTCCTCCTTTTCGTCCACACTACTCGCCGCCATTTCCGACCTCCAACCCTCTCTCAGACTCCCCTCTGAACATATGGTTCCTGTTGCATATTGGTGTAACGCCCCTCCGACACCAAAACCCTGAGGAAACATTGTGTCAGAATCTAAATTCAGGTTCGGCAACACCATGGTAAGGGACATGTAATGCTAGAGCTTCCTGTCAAGGCTTGTTTCATCATGTTCCTGGACTAAAGTGTGTGAAATGTTCCCTCAGAAAAGTTTTATCTGAAGATTTATGGATATGGGCCCAGATCCGAAGTTCTCGAAGCAGTTGAAACAGTTGAAACAGGACAAAGTCACATATTATGTGTTTGTTTTTCATTTATTGTAGCATGCAATGTTTCAGGTACTGACATCTCCCTCTGATTTCACAGGTCTGCCTGGTCCATCAAAATAGTATCAGAGTATTCTGCTTGGCCAAGCTATCAATGCAGGAGCAAACAGGACACAAAGAGAACCAACAGGTCAGGCAGTTGGCTGGTCACATCTGAACACAATCAATACTTCAAACCAAGCATATGGTTCAGGATGAACACATGCCGTACATACACCAAACTAAACCCTGCCTTGCAATGCAGGGAAACCTTTCACAAAGTGATATTTCAAATGAAATAAATGGAATACATATTATTCATGTAGACATTTTTTTATGCTGTCTCAGCCAGTTTCATCATTCTGAAACATTTATTTGTCCCTCTATATCAGGGTTCTTCAATTCCGGTCCTGGAGGGCCGAAACACTTCTGTTTTTTATTTCTACCTGGTAGTTAATTGCACTCACCTGGTGTCCCAGGTCTGAATTAGCCCCTGATTAGAAGGAGAGGATGAAAAACAGAGGCATTTCGGCCCTCCAGGACCGGAATTGAAGAACCCTGCTCTATATCAATATTTATTTAAATATCTGATTACATATTGTTGTATAAATGAGCAGTTAGTCCATGGTAAGATGGTGCCAGCCGTATACAATAATGATGGCTGTGTGTACCATCTTTTATTTCATTTACATTTCAATCGAACAATAGATTTTCTAAGAAAATGTCTAATACAGACATAAATATTCAAACATCAGTTCTGTCATAGTTGTACAATTGACAAACAGGAAAATGTTTTCACCTTACAAGACCATCCTTGGCTAACTTTGACAATTCAGCAAATTTTCAAAATTCAACTGAAGAAGCAGACTTGACTTATCCAGAGTAAAATACTACAACACAACCAATGATGGTAGTAAGTAATAATAATACATTGATCGTTATCAATAATAAAGCATTTCAGAAGCAGTAAACAGTAAAATGCTGCAGGCAGGCTACAATACTTGTCGTGGCCACACAGTGGGCATGTGCAGAACACTTACATAGCTGGGTGTGTTGTATCACAACTACAGAATCATGTACCTCCTCCTTCGCCATGACAACAAGAGGGACTAGCATGCATGACCTGGGGGCACTGGCTGGATAGTGGGTAGTAAGAACATCTTGCAATGATGACGTAGGAAGTGCAGTGCGATCAGATCATTACACCAGTGCTTCATTAGACAGGCACTGGAACACACTGGGAACTCATTCTATCTACATAACTCTGAATACTGTTCTTATTGTACCCAATCCCTTCCCAACTGGGTAATAATATTGGTATTGAATCCAAACATAAAGGGACACATTATAGCAAAATGATAAATCCCTCCTTAAACACATTTATGTGGTGGAAAGTTACATTAAACAAGATTAATTAATGTCATGACCCATAATATTCAGTGCTGAAGATGCAATCAGGGGTGTAATCATTAGCCAAACAGTTGCAAAACGTTTAAGCTAAAACGAGAGTTTCTATTGGACAAATCGTTTCGTTCCGTTTGCTTCCTTTTAAGAAATGTTTTGCAACAGAATCGGAGTAATGAATACGCCCTTGATCAGTAGCTTAGCAACCCTAAGGGCTGCAGAGACTGGGCTCTAGCACTCCCTGCTGGAACAAACCTGAACTACAGGAGGCAGATAAAGCAGTCACAACACTACCCTTGAACTTGACCAGGTTCTAAACCTTAATAGACTCCCTGGTCCCTCCCACGTCTTATATCCAAAGGCCCCTATCCCCTAAAGGACCTTGTCCACCATTAGACAATAATGGACTCCGGTGATTGATTGTACACAATATGAGACAATTTCTTAAGTTAAAGTCTGAAACAGGATAAGAAGAATAACAGAAATACAGCAGCCTGTTAGTAATGCTTAGAGAATGGATATACTGTATGTCTTTATATCTGTATAGGGCAGTCCTTAAGGATTATCAATCACTGGTCAAGTTGTGTCTCACTTAGCCTGTCTGCTTCCTTTCAGACCGTAAAAAAAGAAACCCTATTATAAATAGGATAGTTTTTCTAAGTGCTGCAAGTTAACACATTGCATCACCCGAATGTCTTCACCCCCACAGGCAGGAGAAGACAGCAAACAGAACGTTCAGTGCACAAAACTGCAGTAAAATAACACTGACCCTTTTAGGCCAATGCATGCCCCTCGGTAGCGATCACAAAATTATGATGGACTCTATTGGTTAGACCGTTGACCAGCAGTGAAAAGACTGCTCGAAACATGAACATAGAGACAGACTGATGGATCGGTTTCATTTCTTCCCAAAAATTACGACCAATAACGAAACAAAACAGAGATCCCGATTCAAAATATTTTGACAAACAACTTCACGGAAGTTAGCAATGCTTCAAAGAAAATAACAAAACATTAGTGAAAAGTTTGAACAGGGACTGAACTAAACAAAGACAGCATGAAGGAACACAAGAATCACCTGGTGATTGGTTGACAATCTGTTATAGTAAACACAGGTTATGAGTTTGATGCACAGAACCAAAAAGAGCTGAAACAACCAGTTTACATTGTGAGTTTATGTAATGTGGTTCCAGTGCACAGATAAATGTCAGTATGACGTATCATTTCATTACAGCAGATCACTACGATTCAATCACTGGCTGCAGTTGCACAGAGGATAGATGGTGCCAGAACCACTGAATACTGAAATCTGTTGATCATATCTAGGATTGTTCATACATGTTGTTCTATTTGGTGTTTTTCATGTATTAACCCCACGGTTAAGAATAAATATAAGGAGATATTTTACGAACATTAAAAAAAGGCTAGAATTGTGCATATGTGTGACATCCATGAGATATCTGATTGATTGTCATCGTCTTGAATCTCGTCTATGAAATGCTTGACACCAACAAATGACACTTCACACAGGATAACACGGCCAAGCCTTAGGAACCTTTGATAGGCTACTACAATGTCTAAAGTAGATGGGAGTTGGACTAGAGCCACATCTAGTGTTGGTACCTGATGATCCAGGCCTATACGACACTAAGATGTTACTGTGACAGCAGGTGCAGAGAGCTGTGTAGCGCTGGGTCGGGACCACCGGTTGGGACCCCCAGGCGTGGCGGTGGGGTGTTTTTGCCTCTCATCTCCCGTTGAGCAGCATCTCAGGGCCTGTGTTAGGGCAAGGGCCCATGTCCCCCAGCCTCAGAGGGCCGGTCCTCATCATCAGCTTCCCCATGCTGAGGCCTCCTGAGCCCAGACTTCCAGGGGAGAGAGACCTCCTGGGACACAGAGATGCAGTATGGGTTCTGATCAGTAACCAAGGAGTAGAAGAGATCTCTATCCTTTATAGTCCTTGTCAGAAACAGAGAAGGTACAGTAAGGGAACGGTTGTTTCCTTTATGCTGAGTTTTCTCACCCAAGTGCAGGCCTATGTGATGTGTATATGACCATGTTATGATCATGCCTGCCAAAAATAATTGCCCCTCAGGGATAAATAAAGTTTATTGAATTGAATGTTCTCGATGAGGGAGAAACCACATCAATATTGAGCCTTGCTACTGGTGTGTTTAGTGTTTACTAGTCTCATGTTGCCAGACATCGGTTGAGGGTAGGCTAGTGGTTGATCGAGCTCACCTGAAGGCCATCTTCTTCAGTCGTCGTGCTTCCATCTTGTCTGCTGACAGCTTGTCTTTCTGGGTCCTCTGGGGTTCACTGCTGGGAGGGGTGAGGAGGTGGGGGTCTCTCCGCTCCAGGGACTCCTAAGACATTCAGAGAAAAAGTCAGACGGGGAGAGTAGACATGGAAAACATATAGTTGATGTAATAGACTAACTACATTACAAAGTCAGATGTTGTGCTATTCCACCACTTTACAGTTCCCAGATCATCCCTTATGGGACACAGACATATTATCAATCAACCAATCAATCAATAAATCAATCATCCAATGAATAAATAAATATATCAACCAATAAAGAAATAAATAAATCACATTCAATCAATCAGACACATAGAGACGTCACTGCACTTCAGACTGTTGACTGTTGTCCTGCAGGTCAGTGCCCTCCACATCTAGTGCAGACAGCTCCAGTTCTATGTCTCTGTCCGGTTCACTCTCTGTCGTGTCTTTACAGTAGTCAGTCTGCAGCAGGTCTCCTGCACCAGCCTTCTCTCCACTGCTGACTGACTGCCGACGGGCGGCAAGCTCACACACTCCCAGCTGGTCACTGTTGACATACAGGAATGGTGGCAACTTGAGATCATCTACAATATCTTCACTGTGCTGCTTCAGACATGCAAAAGTACAGTAAAACAGTGGCTTTGTACTATATGGTACTGTACTGTATTGTATTGTACTGTATTGTACTGTATTGTACTATATTGTACCGTACTGTTCTTTTATCACATGTGTATTCTGACTGATTTGATGTAAATAGCTGATGCACTGACAGCAGAATGAGAGACTTGTGGAGCACAGGACAGACGACCAGACAGACAGAATGTTAGTCAGAGTCAGGAGGGTTACAGAAGAGATCGTCAGCAGGTAGAAAACTACCACAGAGTCCAGAGAGACTCTCTATTTTTAGTCTGAGGAGAGAACTGACTGCAGCACAATGAAAGAGGAGGAGTAGGAGAGGAGAGAGAAGAGGAGAAGAGGAGAGAGAAGAGGAGAGGAGAGGAACGAGGAGAGTAGAGGCGACGTCGCGCCGTAAGGCGATGGAGGTTGCGCTCTGCTCTCTCTTTTGACCTTAGCTCCCTCTTTCTTCCTCCTTCCTTATCTTCTCTTCTTCTCCTTCTCTCTCTCTCTCCTTTTCCTCCCCTACTCCTCGTCTCCTCCTCTATCCTTGCGTCTCTCTCTCTCCTTCTTCCCTTCTTCCCGCTTCTCTTTCTGTTTCCTCTGCTTCTCTTCTCCTACGTCCAGCTCTCCCTTTCCCTCCGAGAAGGGAGGAGAGGAAGAGGAGAGGGTGAAAACAACACTTCCAACACAGTCATGATGAGCAAGCAAATTCTCAGCAGCATACATACAAGAGGACCTCGAAGTAAAACAACAAGATATAAAATACAAGATATAAAAGACAACAGGACAATGCCTTTGTTTAGGGTGAAGAGAGAAAGGAGGGGATGGGATGGCTCTATATGGTGTATAGTATAGTATTATATAGTATAGTATAGTATAGTATAGAATCTATACTGTACCTCTCTAGGAAACTGGAGTGGCTGGATGAGTCAGACCCCCGGGAGCTCCACCTGTTGTCCCCATGGTCGATGTGTGGACCATAATCTGTTATAACCATAGATTTACAATAACATTGAGCAACCTATTACAATGAATTTTCCCACCCTTGTCAACACTATGCTTAAGTGAATACATGGGAGCGCTGACTGCAATGAACCAGGCTCTGCTGAGCCTGCTGAGAGCCTGGGTGCATTCAGAGCCTGGCCTGGAGATGAAAGAGAATGTTCATTTATATTCACGCTCTAATCCCCCTACATGTTAAGAGGATTCTGCGCTGTGCTAGTTTAGCAGCCGGTCTTAAAACTCTAGCATAGTTGAAAGAGATTTCTTTCTGCACATAACATCCACATTCATGACAAAAAATGAACTAGGGAATAACAATTCTGTTGGTTGAACATCTTAAGTTTTTTCTGCTGCTGTCATTTCAACCCTGGTTCCCAGAAAATCTGAGATATAACAAGTCATAGATAGGATATATAAAACATTACAAGAGAGATATAATAATGGATCATTTCTTATTCATTTAAATGTTTACCTCCCTCCTATCCTCTCCTCACCTCTGAAGTTGATGGGGGTGGTGCTGTTCCTTCCTTGACAGGCCGTGGCCTGGACCGGGTCGGTGGTGTGGTACCCTGTACGGGAGGCGCGGGATATCGCCCCCCATTTGGAAATGATGGGCCCCTCTCCAAACGGTATGATGGGGTCCTCGTCTTTCAGACGGCGGTAGGGCTCAAATGTGTGTAGCCACCGCGTCCTTTCACCATTGTCTACTTCCTGAAAGACACAGCGTTAGTAGAAAACATAGACATTTTCATTAGTTAGTGTAGGCTATGTCACAGTAACTGCCTAGTTTGTCATGTGTTGCTAAAGTATATTCTTATGTTCCGTAGGATCTATATGTGTCTGTGTGGATGTTTGGTTGAATTAAGAAGGCATGTTGTGAGACTCACTAAGTGTTCGGAGCAGGAGTGAGATGAGGCCTTGTGATGCTCTGGTTCGAAGGGGCTGATGCAGGTACTGATGGTTCCACAGGACCAGGGAGAGTAGTGGGCCAGACTCTCCTCTCCACGGTACTTACAGTTCATACACTGACCACCACCACTGTCACCATGCTAGAGAGAGAGCAAGGGAGTTAGAGAGAGATACAGAGGGAGAGAGAGAAAGAGAGAGGGAGAGAGAGGGAGGGAGAGAGGGGGAGAGGGAGGGAAAGAGAGAGAGAGGGAGAGAGAGAGAGAGTTTTTATAAAACCTTTATTTTATACTCAAGTGTTACCACAAATAATGGCACACTGCCTTTTCAGAAATGAAACAACAAATGTCATTCCTAAATAAAATTTTAAAATAAAATAAAAATAAAAATAAATTACATAAAAATACAAAAAAAACATATATATAGATTCAACTCATTTCATCAACAAAAAATAGTTTCCCCTCCTCCACAAAACCAACCGCTCCTTCGTAGCCCACTTCTCCTCAAACAATGGGAGATCTTTTACAGCCGAGAAGAACTCAAAATCCACTTTTATTCTCGCTTTCACTAATCCTTTAAAAACACATCTTACATCCTTCCTATATCCCGTTTCTATCTTATGTTTCCTACTCAGAAAAATTGACATCTTAGCTTGTCCCAAAATACAATTTAACAGTTTACATTTTATTTTCTGTTGATATTGAAACCCCAGAATAAAAACAGTGTTATTGAAAATCTCCCCTACAGCTTTAAACAAAGACTCCAGTATTTCCAAGAGAGGTTTTATCCTCTCACACTCCATAAAACAGTGAAAAATTGTTTCTCTTATATTACAAAAAGGACATCCATCTCCAACATCTGAGTTAATAACAGATACAAAAGCATTAACTGCAATGATGCCATGCAAAACCCTCCATTGCATATCATCAGTACCCTTTTTGTCACGCCCTGACTCTGGGGACTCTTATTTGTTGAGTCAGGGTGTGACTTTCTATGTTGTATTTTCTAGGTTTAGATCTAGTACGTCTAGATCTATGTTGGCCGGTGTGGTTCCCAATCACGTGACACTTTTGTAACGGTGGCTTGTACAGTGCTCTCCATGCTGGCTTTACCTTGTCATCAATGCCCAATTTTACCCTCCATGGAGTGTCTTTTCTATTTTTCAATTTATCTTTATTCAACACCTTGACACACCCCCTATATAAGTATTTCCCATTCACCTCATCCAAACCCACCTCTTCCAACCCACTCAAATCCAGTAATAACGCCTTTCTTTCTGACTCTGGGATATTGGGTGTAATCCCTAGTCTTGGAAATGAGACGTTTTCATCTTGTACCTTCTTCTTGTGACTATTCAGCATACCCCACTCTTCTGCTGACAGAGCATTCCTGCAGCTTCCCAGCAGTTGTCTGACAATCCTTTCCGACCTCACCCACAAATGTTCAGCCACCCGTCTTCCATCCATTAAGGCGGGCCCAGCCATGGCCATTAACTGTTTTAAGGTGATGATTTTGCCCTTCACCAGAATCTTGGAGAAATGTGGAACAGCTGCAGTTGTACAATCCAGTCTTGCCCCATACACCAGAGGTTCCTCCAACAGCCAATGCACTGACTCCGCTGAAGTGTATCTGGACACCTTCATTATGCTCCACACCCTAAGAAGGCCTCTGTAAAACGGAGGTACTCCCTCCCTAGAAATCTGGCTACTATCAACCAAAAATAAAGCCTTCTTTAAACCTAATCCCCCAACCTGCTGTAATACAAGACCTGCCACCCCTCTCCAAACCACATTTTCCGGTCCATAAAGCAACCTTTGAATAAACTGAAACCGGAAAGACCTTGTCCCCCCTCCTCTTTTGACAAATACGAAACACTTTGTGGAACCCAATGATATTTATCCCAAAATAAATCTACAGTAATCGCCTGTATCTTAGCCAGAAGGCCAGATGGTGGCTCTAAAACTAACAACCGATGCCACAGTGCAGAGGCAACCACATTGTTAACTATAATAGTGCGCCCCCTATATGACATACGAGATAACAACCAACGCCATCTCCTCATCCTCCCTTCCACCATTTCAACCACCCCAATCCAATTTTTTTCCATTGTCCCCTCATCTCCTAGGTACACTCCAAGATACTTAAAACCTCCCTTACACCATTCCAGCCCCCCTGGCAAAGCCATGATCCCTCCAGACCATTCTCCAATCTGTAAAGCACAACTTTTTTCCCAATTTACCTTTGCAGAGGATATTCCCATAAAACGATCAACCATTAGATTCAAACTATCCACCTTCGCTTGATTTTTCACTAAAATAACTACATCATCAGCATAGGCTGAGAGACGAATAGGAGGAATATCCTCTGAAAGGTACACCCCTTCAATGCGACTTCTAATGCTATTTAATAGTGGCTCTATAGCAATGGCATATAACATTCCCGACAAAGAACATCCCTGCCTAATACCTCTACACACTTTAAAAGGAGCACTCAAACCACCGTTAACTTTCAGTACACTTTCAATGTCACCATATATCACCTTTATCATGGCAATAAAACCAGAGCTGAAACCAAACACCTCAAAAGTGTGCCATAAGTATTGATGTTCAACTCGGTCAAATGCCTTTTCCTGATCAATTTAAATTAGACCAGCATCCAACCCAATAGCCCTAGAGATGTCCAAAAAATCAATTTTCCATGCCTTGGATGCAGTGTATAGCTCCTGCAAAGAAAATGGTTGCTCTAGCTCAACCTGAGCTTCTGCAGCCACCTGTGGGAGCCCATCAAGGAACTGCTGTGTCACTGTTTTATCCTCTTTGTACTCACACTTGTAGAGCTCAGCATAGAACTCTACTGCCCTCTTTCTAATTTCACTAGGGCTAGTGAGCTCCTGTCCAACAGCTGATTTGAGACAATGAATAATTATTCTTTGTCCATTCTTTTTCTCTAAACCAAAGAAAAATTTGGATGAGGCATCCATTTCAGAGATTCCCTGAAAATTACTTCTCACCAATGCCCCCTGTGCTCTGATACCCAGCAGGCCTGCCAATGCAGCTTTTTTCCTCTTGAGGGCCTGAGTATGGCCTCGATCTCCTGTGGTCTCAACCAACGTCATGAATTCCACTATTTCAGTCTCTAGGGCTTTCATTGATCTAGTGATATCCTTGGTGACATTCCTCGTGTATTGATTACAGAATTGTTGAATCTGGATTTTCCCTATATCCCACCACTGTTGAAGGGATACAAAACTGGCCTTTTGAGACCTCCACCTCTCCCAGAAAAAACTAAAACATTTCCTGAAGTGAGCATCACTCAATAAAGTTATATTAAAATGCCAGTATGCGCTTTTGGGTTTTACATCGTTAATGAACACCACCTCTGTTATTAAACAATGATCAGAAAATCCCACTGGGGTTATCATACTTGATTTACAGACCTGAGATTGATGCTCAAAACAATAAAACCTATCTAACCTGGCCATAGAGATGGCGTTCTCTCTCACATGCGCCCAGGTGTTCTGTCTCGTGCCTCCATGTATCACACAGTTCATGTGTTACAATGAGGCGTTTTAAAAAAGTCCTTGAGGCTATATTAGGTTCTTTGTGATTTTTATCTAAATCACTGACTGTGTAGTTAAAATCCCAAGCAATAAATAAATAATCTTCAGTATTACATTTCTCAATGGTATTTGATAATGTCTCTAAAAAACATACCCTCTCAACTGCCACCACTGGGGCATATACATTTATCAGACACATAGTGATGTTTTCATACCTCACTCTAACTTTTAATAACCTCCCCTCAACTACCTCTTCAACCTCATATCACAAAGGCAAAAACCCTTTTGAGAACAAGATGGCCACACCCCCACTTTTTTAGTTTTTATGACTACACACCACTGTCCCCCCCCCCCCCCCCCCCCCAACCCCACTCCTGTTGCCACATAACTTCATTTTCCAAATTACTATGCGTTTCTTGTAGAAAACTTATGTCACTTCCCTTTCCCCTAATGAACTCATACACAATGGCTCTTTTTTTAACGTCTCTCCCCATTTACGTTTAAAGAAGAAATCTTAAAACTGCTCATGGATGGAAAAAAATACAGAGGAAGACCCAGAAACCACATCTCTTTACAGAGTTAAGGCTGCGACTGAACTCTTTCATTTTCTTTAGAATTTACATCACTTATCACTCTCGTGACCACTTTCTTGAGTCTAGCAATTTCAGGGCTTGTCAAACCTCCCCCTGTTATTTTTGACATCAGAAACTTTGCTGATTCAATAAACAATTCACTTTCAGGAACAACATATGTTACATTATAATCCTACATATATTTCTTCCCTTTTGTCAACTTCAGAAATTGACGTACCTTCTCAATCCCATACCTCCCTTCCACCCCATTTATCTAACTATTTTGTTGTGACGCGTCAGTGTCACGAACGCTGAGTGTGGATGTGGTGTAGGGAATCAAGCGCAGGCACACAAGAGTACGTCAACAGTCTTTAGTGGTGCAAAACAACTCCAAACAGGAGAAAATAGCCAACCCAACCGGGAGGCGCGAACGACAAATGCGCACACAACACAGTGCGTAAAACAAGGAAAAAGCGCACGCAGTGCGGACTCTCGAAATACACAGGAAGAGAGTCAAAATACCAAGAACACGAACAGCTGACAGGAACAGGAACGGACCGGACCGGGCTGACGATGCGCACCCCTGGCTTGGTGCGTGGAGTAGCAACTGGCCGGACCGGGCTGACTATACACACCCCTGGCTTGGTGTGTGGAGCAGGAATGGGCCGGACTGGGCTGGCGACGCGCACCACAGACTTGGTGCGGAGAGCAGGAACGAGCCGGACAGGGCTGACGAAACGCACCACAGACTTGGTGCGGGGAGCAGGAACAGGCCGGACCGGGCTGGCGACGCGCACCATAGGCTCGGTGCGGGAAGCAGGAACAGGCCGGGCCGGGCTGACGACACGCACCACAGGCTCGATGCGAGGAACAGGAACAGGCCGGACCGTACTGGGGACACACACCACTGGCCCCACGCAGGGATCAGGAACGGGCCGGACCGGACTGGTAACACACCCCAGTACCTCTCGCCGTGCCTCCACACCTTCCCTCTCCTCTGTGACCAGTGGCCCCCCTAACCTGGCGGCCTCCTCTGCACACCCGCTGGACCGCTCCATCGCGGCCTCCTGCTGCCCCGTCGTCCACGTCGTGAGCCCCCCCCTAAAAATCTTCCGGGGTTCTCTCCTCCCCGTGGACCAGGCCTCCCTAGTTCTCGCCAGACTCTCACTCTTCTGCTTCCAACTCCCGCTATTCAGCTCCTCAATTGGCTTGACCCAGTCGAAACTCTTAATCCATTGCTCCATAGACCAGCCTCTCTTCTCTTCACTTAGCGGGGCCCAGTCGAAACTCCTACTCCACTGATCCCAGGTCCTTCCTCTCTCCTCTTCACGCTGCTTGGTCCAGTTTAGGTGGGTTCTTCTGTCACGACCGTCAGGGTAAGGAGTAGACCAAGGCGCAGCGTTGCAGGCAAACATACTCTTTAATGAGCGAAAACACGATCAAAACAAACAAAGACGGTAACGTGACAGTTCACGGTGAAACTAAACCAACTAGAAACAAGAACCCACAAAACACAAAGGAAAACCGACAGTTTAAATATGGCTCCCAATCAGAGACAACCAGCAAACAGCTGACACTCGTTGCCTCTGATTGGGAGTCACTCAGGCGAACACAGAAATACGGAACATAGATCTACACACCCTGGCTCAACATAACAGTGTCCCCAGAGCCAGGGCGTGACAGTCAGATGACTCACTCTCGCTATCCTCCCCAGAAGAAAACTCCACCATCTCCACCATCTCTACAACCTACTGTCACTTTATTTTACTTCTGCTCTTTTTTTCTCAACACTTTTTTGTTGTTGTTTTATTCTTACTTTTTTGTTTAAAATAAATGCACTGTTGGTTAAGGGCTGTAAGTAAGCATTTCACTGTAATGTCTGCACCTGTTGTATTCGGCGCATGTGACCAATAAAATTTGATTTGATTTGATTTGATTTGTTCATCCTCAACTGATTTATCAATCTCTACCTTCCTCTTGGAATTAGACCCTTCACCACCCCTTAAATTCTTCCTCTTACTCCTCGGTATTTTGAAAACAGCTGCTTCCTTTTCCATTATTTCAATCTCCTCTTGACCTCCAATTTCATTTTCCAGCACCACCTCAGCGACCACAGTCGCAATCTCACCAACTGTTTCCCCTCCCTATTTGTTCTGATCTACCACAATTGCCCCCGTATCCACACTGCTTTCCTTTCCTACTTTTCCAACCACATCTTCCCACCTTCCCCTGCACCCTTAGCATGTTCATCCCTTCGCGGTGGTGTATTAGCTGCTACCAGGCTCTGCATGCTCGTTCTCGGGACAATTACGTACCAAATGCCCCTCTCTTCAACAGCCAAAGCATTCCATTGATTCAGTAGAAGCGTAGAAGACATAATCAAATCCATCAATCTTAAAACTGAATGCTAATTTCAGTTCATCATTGTCCTTCTTTAAAATCATATGCACTTGTCTCCTATGAGACACGACATGTTTCAGCAAAGGAGATTTGCATCCAAAAATAACTTTCTTTATTGTAGATACAATTTGACCATGACGAGATAACTCTCGCTCCAACACTTCATCTCTAACAAATGGTGGCACGTTAGAAAGTATAACTTTCTTCGCCGGATTCATTAGAGGAAATACCGACGTCTGTGTCTCCCACAACACAACACCACTCTCAACTATCATATTCACCTTTTCAATGGAATCTAAGAATATCACTACACCGCTATTCATCCTTGAGGCTGATTTGATGCTATCATACCCAATGATAGCACCCACTGCTAAGCTACATTCTTCCACTGAACACCCGGCCGCAGCAGAATCTTTACTCCATGCCGCCGACTACATTTTTCAAACTCCAAACTTCCGCGAGTGGCCATTGCAACCAGCCCCACCCACTGGTTGTGCCCTCGCAAAAAAAACAACCTCAACGATCCCACCACCCCTATACGTGCTTAGTGATAGTTAGATAAGATAACCTTAAAACAACTAAACTAATCAATATATATATATATATTCACACCAAAACCAATAGAGTGAAAAGAAATTCCAATCACTCTCCATCACTCCTGCCTTCACGACTCACTCCCTGCATGCCGGAGACCAAAGAGGGAGGAAAAAAGGAGAAGAGAGAGAAGAAGAGAGAGAGAAAAGGAAGGGAAGAGAGAGAGAGAGAGAGAGATGAGAGAGATAGAGAGAGGGGAAAGAAAAGAGAGATGAGAGAGCAGAGAGAGAGAAAAGAGGGGAAGAGAGTGAGAGACGAAGAAAGAGAAGAAGAGGCGAGAAAGGAGAGGGAGGGAGAGAAGAAAGGGGGAGGCGAAGGACGGGGGGGGCGGGGGGGGGGAAAATTGGGGTGGAGGGAGGGGGACAGAGAGAATAGGGGGGAGAGAGTTATGAGGACTCCCAAACACTTTACTGCGACTCTCTATGCAAATTGCTACCCAGTTGCCCAGCAACAGTCACACTCTAAAAAGCTTTGGATTCAACACAGCTTTTGGGCCAAAATCAAAAACCCACAAAAACAACAAACATACTGATACGTGAGCTTTTCTTTACCTTGATTTCATGGGGTAACAGAGTGGAGAAAACTGATTACAGTATGCCTTTTATACTTGCCCTATACACAAACTCTCTCTGTCTGTCTCTGTCCTCCTTTTCCTTCCCTCTGTTTCTCTGTTCCCTTCATTTTCCCTTCTTTTTCCCTTTTTCCTCATTTCTTTTTTCCCCCTCTCCCTCCTTCTTCCCTTTTCCCCCCCCCGTAAAACTCTTTCTCTCTGCTCCTTCCTTTCGTCCGCCCCTGCCTTCCCTCTTCCCTTCTCTGTTCTTTGCTCTGTCCCTTCTTTCGTCTGTCCTCCCTTCGGTTTGTCTCTCTCTTCTCTCTTTGGTCTGACTCTGCGATGTCAACCCTCGCTCGTCACCTACTCACCTCTCACGTCTTCCCTGGCGGGGAAGGGAAACCCTTGGAGAGGCTGTTTCACGTTGCTGTGTGATGGGGGGCCCACGCCCTGTTCCCCCGGCCCAAAAAGAAACCCCAAAAAATTCCCAAAAAAAAAAAGAGGGGAAAAAGAAAAGAGAAAATGGGGAAAGGGGGGGGGGAAAAAAGAAAGAGGAAGCGAGAGAGAGAGAGAGAGAGAGAGAGTAGAGGGGGGGAAAAAAAGAAGAGAGAGAGATAAAAAAGAGATAGAGGGAGAGAGAGAAAGGGGGGGGGGGGCAGAGAGAAAAAAGGGGGAGGGGGGGGGGGGGGAAGGGGTTTTGAAAAATTTAAAATCCCAGGGGTTTTAAATTTAGGTCCCCCCCTTACAAAACACACAGCAAAATTAACAACCTTAAAAAAAAGCAGGGGAATAAAAAAACTAAAACAAACAACCTAAAAGCAAACAACAAAAAACAAACACATAAAACAAGGACAAAAAAAACAAACAAACAAGGGGAAAACGGAGGAGGAGGAAAAGGGAAAGGGTGGAAATGGGCAGTGAGGGGAGGGAGGAGAGGCAGGGAATAAGAAAGATAAACCAAGGAGGTATAGGCCCCTAATGTTTCAAAGGGGGCCTATGTCCCCCCTGGCATAGGGGCTTGGGACACCTTGGGAGGGGGGGCTGGTACAGAGAGGAGTGCAGCACCTCGGGAGGCAGCGAGTTACTCCTGGCGTCCTCTCTGTGGTACAGCTGGGGCCTCCACATACGCCGGCTGTCATACAGGGGAGCGTAGCCACCGTGGGCCGGGGCCAGGGGCCCGTACTGGGGGACCTGTGGCGGACCGTAGGGAGAGGGACCAGCATGTTCCCGTGGTGGGGGCAAGGAGGGGTGCTGCTCTGAGTACGGAGGGGCCATGGATGGGGGCAGAGAGGACTCTGGGACGTGGCTGGAACGGAGGAAGCGAGCCACGCAGGGTTTGTGGTGGTGTATCGCAGAAGGGTAGTAGTTACCTAAAGGAGCAGGGAGGGACAAAGGACATCAGTGAGTCTACAAAATACCGTATTTAAATGATGAAAGATTGAATAGAGTGAATCGGACAGACCTGGATTCAATGGAATTTGTTTTCTTTAAAATACTTTAGCTGCAATTGATTATACTTGTCTGGTGCAATGGAACCAATGGAATAGTCTGTGCAGACCCCGCCCCTCTGGCACTCAGGGATGCTCAATCAAACGCTAACGTATTTGAAAGAAATAAAATGCTATTTGAACCCAGGTCTGACAGACACCCGTCACCTGTCTCTGAGATGGCTGTACTCACTGGCTGGCTGGTAGGGCTGCGCGTCGTAGGGAGGTCGGGGTTCCTGGTAGCACAGTTCAGAGGACTGAGGTTGGTGGGGAAGGGGCTGATGCGGGGGTCTTATCATTAGGTAGTGGGCCTGTTTGGGGTGTGCAGAGTCACACTCTAGTCTAGACCCTGGGCCATAGGGAGAAGGAGCTGAGGAGTGATTTACGGGTGTCTTTGGAGGAGAAATAGACTTCCTGATAGAGAGAGAGAGCGACAGAGAGAGGAGAGGGGAAGAGAGAGAGAGAGAGATGAGCAAGAGAGAGGAGAGAGAGGAGAGAGAGAGAGAGGAGAGAAGAGCGAGAGGGAGAGAGAGACCAAGAACCGAAACCCGAAAGAAAAAACGAATTCAATTCAGAACCGCAGAGAGGAAAAGGGCAGGGACCCCAAAAAGTGTCCGACAAAGCCCCAAAACCCCCCAAAAACAAAGAGAACACACCAACCCAGCAAACCCCCCCCACCTGAAAGGAACCCTTTTTGACCCTTCATTCTGCAAACCCCCGCTAGATTCCCTACCGTAAAATAGTTTCCACCCGAAAAAGCTTTAACAATTACATGTGGGCAAAGCAAGAAAAGCCCATGAGAGAAGATGTTGGGAGATTTGAAGAAAAAATAACGAGGAGAGCGGAGGGGAGGCGGAAGAGGGAGGGAAAACGGGCCCCCGAAAATACCCCATCAACCGCCGGACACGGGGACCAGGGCCAGACCCGGGGCCGAGCCCGAGCCAGGAGAGCCAGGGAGGAACCAAAAGGGGACCAAAAGGGCAGGGGCCGGCCAGAGACCGCCAAGCGAAAGGGGAGGAGAGGGCGGAGAAGGAGGAGAGAGAGAGGAGGAGGACAGAGAGGAGAGAGAGAGAGAGACAGAGAGAGACATAGAGAGAGACACAGAGAGACACAGAGAGAGACAGAGAGAGACACAGAGAGAGAGAGAGCGACAGAGAGAGAGCGAGAGAGAGAGCGAGACACAGAGACAGCAAGAGACACAGAGAGAGACAGAGAGAAACAGAGAAAGGATGTCAGTCTAGAGAGACAACACCATGTCTCATTGTTCATGATGACACATTAAAGACAGCTGAATCATCCCACTTTCAGCCTGAACGTTTCATACTCATCAGTGATGAGTCATCATCATGAATAATAAGAATATACAGTACGTGACAGTATGTGAAACCACAGTCACTAGGTGAAAGTAATGCCATGCTACTGTAATGATAGCATAAAGCATTACAGTAGAACAAGACTAATGTGACAGAGGATTACTTACTGTTCCATAGAGCCAGATGAGGAGCGTCTGGAGCCTGTGAGTCCGTTGGATCCGTTGGGAACAGACCTCTCCCTCTTCATATTCTCCATCATATCCCCTCCCCTGGGGATGAGCTGGGGGTGTGTGGCCACCTCCGTTAGGGACCCTGACCCCCCCTTGTCTGAGCCCTTCAGTCCCCCAGTGCAAGCCTCCTCTCCTGAGTCATCCCCCTCCATACTCAGACCACTACCCATACTCCCTTGGGCCAGGGGGTAGGGCCGGCCCACGCCACTGATCTTCTTGTTTCTCATTCTGTTCCTTGAAAGGGGGAGGGAGAGGGTGGAGAGAGGGAGAGGGTGGAGAGAGGGATAGTGTGGAGAGAGGGGGGAACAGAGAGTGAGAGAGGGGGGAACAGAGAGAGAGAGAGAGAGAGAGAAATAGAAAAAGAGAGAAAAAGAGAGAGAATAAGAAAGGGTAGGTCGTTTAAGATTTTGTTCACAGAAAAGCTTTGATAAAAACTGTATATTGAGGTCTGTGTATCACAGTGTGGTGGTGTTCTCCCTCACGTCTCTAGCTCGTCCTGTGTGTGTGCGAAGGTGCAGTTGGATCCTCGGGGACAGCCCCCCTGCTGCCGGAGGTCTCGACACATACTGGTCTTATACTTGCTGTTGGCCTGTGGCTGCATGGAGAGGAGACAGACAACACACAATGTTACTGACAATAGCGAAAACACTGTGCTTGTTGAAGGGACATATCAATGTCTCTTACATTGTCTCTGTTGTACATTTAACAGGTGTATTACGTTTGCACGTGTGTATGTGCGTGTGCGATTTTGCACGCATGCGTGCATGCATGTGTGTGCGTGTGTGTGCGTGTGTGTGTGCGTACGTACGTGTGTGTGTGTGCGTACGTGTGTGTGTGTGTTCATAAGTGCGTGTGTGTGTGTGTGCGTACGTACGTGCGTGTGTGTTCATACGTGCGTGTGTGCGCGTGTGTGTTTGTGCGTACGTACGTGTGTGTGTGTGTGTGCGTACGTACGTACGTGCGTGTGTGTGTTCATACGTGCGTGTGCGTGTATGTGTGCATGTGTGTTTGTGCGTACGTGCGTGTGTGTGTGTGTGCGTACTTATGTGCATGTGTGTACGTGCGTGTGTTTGTTCATACATGCGTGTGTGTGTGTGTGTGTGTGTGTGTGTGTGTGTGTGTGTGTGTGTGTGTGTGTGTGTGTGGGTGTGTGTGTGTGTGTGTGTGTGTGTGTGTGTGTGTGTGCGTGTGATGTCCGGTCCAGTACCTGTGGTGTCTCGTGGTTCTTCTTACTGAAGTTGTGTATAAACTCCACCAGACCATGGACTACCACCTTCACCGCCAGCATCACACTCTCCAGCTCCTCCCACGACGGAGCTGCCGCATCTACACATACCAAAACACACATCCGATTTCAACATCCCCGTCTCATTTTAGTCATTTAGCAGACGCTCTTATCCAGAGCGACTTACAGTTAGTGAGTGCATACATACATCAACATCCCCCCGTCTTGTTTCTAAACAATATTATAGGGTCATAGTGTCTGCAGCTTCTAAACAAACCCACAAAACCCACAAACATATACCACAGATACCTACACCTGTCTCACTGCCCCGGTCTGTCCACCTGTCTCACTGCCCCGGTCTGTCCACCTGTCTCACTGCCCCGGTCTGTCCACCTGTCTCACTGCCCCGGTCTGTCCACCTGTCTCACTGCCCCGGTCTGTCCACCTGTCTCACTGCCCCGGTCTGTCCACCTGTCTCACTGCCCCGGTCTGTCCACCTGTCTCACTGCCCCGGTCTGTCCACCTGTCTCACTGCCCCGGTCTGTCCACCTGTCTCACTGCCCCGGTCTGTCCATTTCTTAACAAGTCCAGTGAGTCACAGTGGATGCACTGCTGGCGGCTTTCCACCCACTAAGTGAAAATGCATCAATGATGTATTATCATATTACCTCTTCTGTCCAGTACTATAATTGTTGATGGTCTAAACCAGGGTTTCCCAAACTCGGTCCTGGGGGCCCCCCCTGGGTACACGTTTTGGTTCTTGCCCTAGCACTACACAGCTGATTCAAATAACCAACTCATCATCAAGCTTTGGTTATTTGAATCAGCTGTGTAGTGCTAGGGCAAAAACCAAAACGTGCACCCAGGGGGGCCCCCAGGACCGAGTTTGGGAAACCCTGTTCTAAACCTCAAGGGAGCTGCATGGAGAAGCTGCTGGGTTCCCCAGGCCCTGGGCTGAAAGGTGTGGGTTGATCTGTACTGTGTCTACCTGGGTTGTGGTCGATGTTGGCCAGTAGTTTCAGGTGTGGTCTGAGGCTGTTCAGGTTGGCCGGGTCTCCTGTTCTCTGTAGAACTATCGTCAGCTCCTGGACACTCTTTGCAAAGGACTCTGGGGACTGGAGCTGGGGGAGTGACCATCAGACAAAAGAAAGTTAGTGAAGAAACACATAACAACTCAATTACGAGTCATTTAATATGGTGGTACTGGTTCTACACTAAGGGTATTCAACCAGGGGTCTGCGGAGGTACTGCAGGAGATCCATTAAAATATTTTCTAAAATAAAAATACAAGTGACAAAAATAAATGTTTTATTTCAATGCTTTTATGAATATCGCTAGCAACAACAGAATAAACAAAATGTTTATGACATACCACCTACATTAGAAAAGAGGAGAATATCTTATTTCTAATGATGTCAACTTTATTTCTCAACTCCTAATATTGAGCAAATTACACTCATTGGAGTCAATTACACTTACTGGAGTATCTGACATAGGCTTTGAAAAAGCACCTGCTAATAGGCTACCAGTGCAGCATGTGCCGCTGGCTGCTGGTTAGCATTCTTGACTTGGACATTCATTTTTGCCAACACATGGCTAACCTTTGTTTAACCAGCTAAACAGCTGCTCTTAGTGAAAATGTGTTTGGAGTTACCTTTCTAGCTAATGGGCTAGAGTTTGGACCTACACTTCCTCTTCCAATTATTATGTGGGGAGGTCAAAGTAATGAAAAACTATCTACCAAATCTATTCATTAAAAAATGTTGATTACTTCTCCTTGCCATTATCATTCACCTGATGATAAGACAAGACGTGATACATGAGTTTTTGCTAACGTATGATGGGGGTCCCTAGGTCGCCACTTTGCCTGGGACAGTGGTCCTAACGTATGATGGGGGTCCCTAGGTCGCCACTTTGCCTGGGACAGTGGTCCTAACGTATGATGGGCGTCCCTAGGTCGCCACTTTGCCTGGGACAGTGGTCCTAACGTATGATGGGGGTCCCTAGGTCGCCACTTTGCCTGGGACTGTCACGCCCTCACTCAGGGGACGCTTATATGTTGAGTCAGGGTGTGTATATTTCCTTGTTGTGCTTTTTCTATGTTGTCGATCTAGTATGTGTGGATCTATGTTGGCCGGTGTGGTTCCCAATCAGAGGCAGCTGTCGCTCGTTGTCTCTGATTGGGGACCATACTTAGGCAGCCTATTGGCACTGTCTAGTTGTGGGATCTTGTTCCTTGTAAGGTATGTTGTGTGTTCTACCTTGGACTTCACGTTTCGTTTCCTTTGTTGTTTTGTCGTGTGTTTAAAGTTTAATAAACATGTACGCATATCACGCTGCGCCTTGGTCTGACCCGTCATTCAACGAACGTGACAGGGACGGTGGTCCCTGGGCAAGAAATGGTTAAAGACCGCTGCTTGAAGACACCGTACAAGTATAGCAGCTTAATGTACTATACAGTGAGAAAATAGCTGCAGTATGTCTCATAGTAATGCACGCATGGGGGGGTTAATGAATGAGCTTAAAGAGAACTAGTATGTGTGAGAAATCAGAGTTGATCTTGATCTTGTCCATCTTGATTAGTACAAGCCAGTAATACAGTGGTGTGGAGGCAGACAGTGTACCTTATCGATGATAGACTGCATGTGTGACTTGTGGATGAGGTCTCCATAGAGCAGAGAGGACCACTGTTCAGGAGAGATACGGAGCCCCGCCTCCATGGCGATGTGTACGATCTGGGCGTCATGCTCGCGACGCAGAGCCTCGTACGTACGGAACTCCTCCTTTAGCTGCATCAGCGACGAGTCCTCGTCACGCTTGGTCACCTGGGAGGGAGGGGAGGGGAGGTGAGGGAGGGGGAGGGGAGGGAGGGAGGGGAGGAGGTTGGGAGGTAGAGTGGAGGGGGGGAGTGAGGGAGGGGAGGAGGTTGGGAGGTAGGGTGGAGAGAGGGGGGAGGGAGGGAATGAGGTTGGGAGGTAGGGGGGAGGTAGGTAGGGGAGGAATGGAGGTAGGAGGGGGGGGGGGGGGACATACAGTACAGTTAGAGACCTACACCCAATAAACCTGACTTGGCTTAACTCCAAACACATTCACATGACCTACAGTAACCCAGTGACCTACAGTAACCCAGTGACCTACAGTAACCCAGTGACCTACAGTAACCCAGTGACCTACAGTAACCCAGTGACCTACAGTAACCCAGTGACCTACAGTAACCCAGTGACCTACAGTAACCCAGTGACCTACAGTAACCCAGTGACCTACAGTAACCCAGTGACCTACAGTAACCCAGTGACCTACAGTAACCCAGTGACCTACAGCAACCCGGTAAACAGAATCACATCACTCTCATATGACTGGAAGACATTTGTGTTTTATTGCCTTGTGTCCTCACTCAAAACTCAAAACTCAGATCAGGTGTGAGAAACAGTTCCCCACTCAGAATCTGCCCTATGAGTAATCACCATAAGACACCAGGCCAGTCCCTCTGTGACTGTCCCTCTGTGACTGTGACTCTGTGACTGTGACTCTGTGACTGTCCCTCTGTGACTGTCCCTCTGTGACTGTCCCTCTGTGACTGTGACTCTGTGACTGTGACTCTGTGACTGTCCCTCTGTGACTGTCCCTCTGTGACTGTGACTCTGTGACTGTGACTCTGTGACTGCCATGCCAACCATGCCAACCATGCTTACAGGCTGGAGGACTCTGAATCAACACCTAGGCTATCTCTCACTTACACACACATCCACGAACGCACACATGCACACGCACGCACGTATGCACGCACACACAAACTCATACACTTCATCACTAGCAGACTGTTTCTTTCTATCACTGGGAGTTTTCAGAGGTTTATTTTATTTATTCATGATTATTTAACCTTTATTTAACCAGGTAAGCCAGTTAAGAACAAGTTCTCATTTACAACTGTGACCTGGCCAAGATAAAGCAAAGCAGTGCGATAAAAACAACAACACAGAGTTACATATGGGGTAAAACAAACATAGAGTCAAAAATACAACAGAAAATATATATACAGTGTGTGCAAATGTAGCAAGTTATGGAAGTAAGGCAATAAATAGGCCATAGTGCAAAATAATTACAATTAGTATTAAAACTGGAATGATAGATGTGCAAGAGATTATGTGCAAATAGAGATACTAGGATGCAAATTAGCAAAATAAATAACAATATGGGGATGAGGTAGTTGGGTGGGCTAATTTCAGATGGGCTGTGTACAGGTGCAGTGATCGGTAAGGTGCTCTGACAACTGATGCTTAAAGTTAGTGAGGGAGATAAGAGTCTCCAGCTTCAGAGATTTTTGCAGTTCGTTCCAGTCATTGGCAGCAGAGAACTGGAAGGAATGGCGGCCAAAGGAGGTGTTGGCTTTGGGGATGACCAGTGAGATATACCTGCTGGAGCGCAGACTACGGGTGGGTGTTGCTATGGTGACCAATGAGCTAAGATAAGGCGGGGATTTGCCTAGCAGTGATTTATAGATGACCTGGAGCCAGTGGGTTTGGCGACAAATATGTAGTGAGGACCAGCCAACAAGAGCGTACAGGTCACAGTGGTGGGTAGTATATGGGGCTTTGGTGACAAAACGGATGGCACTGTGATAGACTACATCCAATTTGCTGAGTAGAGTGTTGGAGGCTATTTTGTAAATGACATCGCCAAAGTCAAGGATCGGTAGGATAGTCAGTTTTACGAGGGCATGTTTGGCAGCATGAGTGAAGGAGGCTTTGTTGCGAAATAGGAAGCCGATTCTAGATTTAACTTTGAATTGGAGATGCTTAATGTGAGTCTGGAAGGAGAGTTTACAGTCTAACCAGACACCTAGGTATTTGTAGTTGCCCACATACTCTAGGTCAGACCCGTCGAGAGTGGTGATTCTAGTCGGGTGGGCGGGTGCCAGCAGCGTTCGATTGAAGAGCATGCATTTAGTTTTACTTGTGTTTAAGAGCAGTTGGAGGCTACGGAAGGAGTGTTGTATGGCATTGAAGCTCGTTTGGAGGTTTGTTAACACAGTGTCCAATGAAGGGTCAGATGTATACAAAATGGTGTCGTCTGCGTAGAGGTGGATCTGAGAATCACCAGCAGCAAGAGCGACATCATTGATATACACAGAGAAAAGAGTCGGCCCAAGAATTGAACCCTGTGGCACCCCCATAGAGACTGCCATAGGTCCAGACAACAGGCCCTCTGATTTGACACATTGAACTTTAGTTGAGAAGTAGTTGGTGAACCAGGCGAGGCAGTCATTTGAGAAACCAAGGCTATTTAGTCTGCCAATAAGAATGCGGTGGTTGACAGAGTCGAAAGCCTTGGCCAGGTCGATGAAGACGGCTGCACAGTACTGTCTATTATCGATTGCGGTTATAATATCGTTTAGCACCTTGAGCGTGCTTGAGGTGCACCCATGACCAGCTCGGAAACCGGATTGCATAGCGGTGAAGGTACGGTGTATCTCGAAATGGTCAGTGATCTGTTTGTTAACTTGGCTTTCAAAAACTTTCGAAAGGCAGGGCAGGATGGATATAGGTCTGTAACAGTTTGGATCTAGAGTGTCACCCCCTTTGAAGAGGGGGATGACCGCGGCAGCTTTCCAATCTCTGGGGATCTCAGACGTTACGAAAGAGACGTTGAACAGGCTAGTAATAGGGGTTGTGACAATTTCGGCGGCTAATTTTAGAAAGAAAGGATCCAGATTGTCTAGCCCAGATGATTTGTAGGGGTCCAGATTTTGCAGCTCTTTCAGAACATCAGCTGTCTGAATTTGTGTGAAGGAGAAGAGGGGGGGGGGGGCATGGGCAAGTTGCAGCAGAGGGTGCAGAGCTGGTGACCGGGGTAGTGGTAGCCAGGTGGAAAGCATGGCCAGCCGTAGCAAAATGCTTGTTGAAATTCTCGATTATTGTAGATTTATCGGTGGTGATAGTGTTTCCTAGCCTCAGTGCAGTGGGCAGCTGGGAGGAGGTGCTCTTATTCTTCATGGACTTTACAGTGTCCCAAAACCTTTTGGAGTTAGTGCTACAGGATGCACATTTCTGTTTGAAAAAGCTAGCCTTTGCTTTCCTAACTGCTTGTGTATATTGGTTTCTAACTTCCCTGAAAAGTTGCATATCGCGGGGGCTATTCGATGCTAATGCAGTACGCCACAGGATGTTTTTGTGCTGGTCAAGGGCAGTCAAGTCTGAGGAGAACCAGGGGCTATATCTTTTCTTAGTTCTGATTTTTTTGAATGGGGCATGCTTATTTAAGATTGAGAGGAAAGCACTTTTAAAGAACAACCAGGCATCCTCTATTGATGGAATGAGATCGATATCTATCCAGGAAACCTGGGCCATGTCAATTAGGAAGGCCTGCTCGCTAAAGTGTTTTAGGGAGCGTTTGACAGTGATGACGGGTGGTCGTTTGACCGCGGACCCGTTACGGACGCAGGCAATAAGGCAGTGATCGCTGAGATCCTGGTTGAAGACAGCGGAGGTGTATTTAGAGGGTAAGTTAGTCAGGATGATATCTATAAGGGTGCTCATGTTTATGGATTTAGGGTTGTACCTGGTAGGTTCCTTGATAATTTGTGTGAGATTGAGGGCATCTAGTTTGGATTATAGGATGGCCGGGGTGTTAAGCATATCCCAGTTTAGGTCACCAAGCAGTACGAACTCTGAGGATAGACGGGGGCAAGCAATTCACATATGGTGTCCAGGGCACAGCTGGGGGCTGAGGGGGGTCTGTAGCAAGCGGCAACAGTGAGAGACTTATTTCTGGAAAGGTGGATTTTTAGAAGTAGGAGCTCAAACTGTTTGGGCACAGACCTGGATAGTATGATAGACCTACAGTAGATTGCAACTCCACCCCCTTTTGCAGTTCTATCTAGACGGAAAATGTTGTAGTTGGGGATGGACATTTCTGAATTTTTGGTGGCCTTCCTAAGCCAGGATTCAGACACTGCTAGAACATCAGGGTTGGCGGAGTGTACTAACGCAGTGAATAACTCAAACTTAGGGAGGAGGCTTCTGATGTTAACATGCAAAAAAACAATGCTTTTACGGTTACAGAAGTCAACAAATGATAGCTCCTGGGGAGTAGGAGTGATACTGGGGGCTGCAGGGCCTGGGTTAACCTCTACATCACCAGAGGAACAGAGGAGGACTAGAATAAGGATACGGCTAAAGGCTTTAAGAACTGGTCTTCTAGTGCGTTGGGTAGAGAGAATTAAGGGGGCAGATTTCCTGGCGTTGTAGAATAGATTCAGGGCATTATGTACAGACAAGGATATGGAAGGATATGAGTACAGTGGAGGTAAACCTAAGAGTTGGGTAACAATGAAAGAGATAGCATCACTGGAGGCACCGATTGAGCCGGTCTCCGTGTGTATGGGGGGTGGAACAAAGGAACTATTTGAGGCAGTTTGAGAGGGACTTGGGGCTCTACAGTGAAATTCTATAATAAGAACTAACTGGAACAGCAATAGGCAAGGCATATTGACATGGGAGAGAGGCATAAAGCAATCACAGGTGTTATTCGAGAGAGCTAAGACAACAACTGGTAATGGCGATGAAAGTTTGGGCTGAGGCTAAACAGATAAACAGGACAGGGTAACGTGTAAAGGAACAGTCCAGCAGGCATCAGCTGTGCAGCTGAGTGATCATAAGGTCCAGTGAACAGCAATATGTGAGTCCGAGAGCAGTTCGAATTGGTGCTACAGCACAGGCTAGCAGGAAGCACGGCTGTTGTTTGCGTGTGCTAGCGGGCCGGGGCTAGCAGATGGATCTTCGTGGTCGTCGCAATGGGAAGCCTGTTGAAACCACAGACGATTACGTCGGCAGACCAGTCGTGATGGATCGGCGGGGCTCCGTGTCGACTCTAGGAGGTCCCGTCCGGTTGACAGAGAGGTAGATAGCCAGTAGATGGGCCTGGCTCGAGGCTAGCTCAAGGCTAACTGGTGCTTGCTTCGGGGGCAGTAGTGATTAGCCAACAGCAACATCCATTCGGTTGCGGCTAGCTAGTTGTGATCCGGTGTTAATGTCCAATGATTCAGTTATTCCCACAGATAATCCGATGTTCTGGGTGAAAAACGCTAACGGTGGCTAATAGCAAGTAGCTAGTTAGCTGGCTAGCTAGTTTCAACTGGAGATTCTAGATAAAAGGTAAGTCAATAATAGAATCCGTTACACATTGAGTGAGGCGGGTTGCAGGAAAGTATATTTAGTAGAAGGGTGAAAAGTGTGATAGGGCCATATGTACGAAAAATACACAAAAAATACAAACAGGCTATTTACACGGACACACACAGAGTACACGACCGCACTGCTATGCCATCTTGGATTCATGCAGAGAGAGGACCATTTTGAGTCATTTCACGTGGAACATGTTTCCATTGGCAGCTAATTTGTCATAATTGGCAATATAAATCTAAACTAAAGATGTGAATTTGAAATCTCCCAGAGAGATTCAGGAACTCATGGTAAGTGACACTCAGAAGCTTTCTCCACTGCTGGGCATGATGAGTGGCAGAGGCAGAAGGTGGCTCTTCTTCAAAGTGCTTCATTGATCAAATGTGACTGGTGGTACCGTACAGCATGGTGCCTATTGATGTCTGTAGCACTTTTGTAAGATAAAGATTTTTTAGCACTATGATAAAACCGCTGAATCAGAGTACTTTCTATCACCCCTATATTAAAGCAAGACAGCCTGTACGCTACAACGATATGGAGACTGTTATCGATGTCAGTGACTTGTGTGTGTGTGCATGCATGTGTATGCGTGTGTGTGTATTTGCATGCCTATGTGCATCATAAGTGCATGTCAGCGCATACTATATACAATATAATATACCAATACAGTAGAATAGGTCTTACCTTAAAGCAGGAGGCCCTGTAGAGTAGCTGGACCACATGTCCTATGGAGGTCTTGGAGGCCTGAGGGAACCGAGCCTCCAGCTTCTGGACCACAAACAGCACCAGAACTTTCCTGGACAGAGCTAAGCCGTCCTCTAGAGCCAACAACACCAGCTTCAGAGCGTCCTCCTGCGTGGCTGTTTCAAACGACACACGCAACTGTCGTCATGTAGCTACATACTGCATAGTACTTATGAAGTACTACTATTACATACTGCATAGTACTAATGAAGTACTACTAGTACATATCAGTGGCCTTATGTTCCAATGGGGATGAAGAGGATTAAGTAATTATTTAAGTACTAGTACATACTACATAGTATCTGATATTACTATGCTGTATTATTGATATCACTATGCTTTATTTATGTATTATTATGCTTTGTGTTTTATGTTGTAAATGTGTCTGAAACTTTGTGTGCTGCTATTTTGGCCAGGTCTCTCTTGTAAAAGAGATTGTTAATCTCAATGAGACTAACCTGATAAAATAAAGGTACCAAAAAAAATAAAAGAATACATAATACATATAAGTACATATCTGACACTTCACCATTTATTTTACAGCAAGAGGGAATCCTATGACACTGTAGGAAATGATACTGTGTTCTACTGGTGTCCTCAGACTGGAAACCCAAAACTCAGATCAGGTGTGAGAAACAGAGTTCCCTCACTCAGGATCTGCCCTATAAGTAATCATTATAAGACACCATAGTGCTGCAGCATCATAGAACATAGTAGAGAGGGAGGATAGAGCATGGAGAGAAAAGCATGCTGAAGCATCATGTGATTGACAGGTGTATTATCCTATCACCCCAGTTTGTCATATGACTGAAAGGTGTATCATCCACTCACCAGGCCCCAGGAACTGGCATCCCCGTGCCCTGACTGCAGCCCACAGGTTAGCAGAGAGCTGCTGTGGGTTCTGGTGCTGCAGGATGAGCTCTGTAACGGTACGTTCCCCTAGCGACCTGCCCGCCCGCACCGCCCGCACCCGCCCCTCCTCCTCCACCAGCTGACAGTTGACGAGCGTCACTAGCTTCCTCTGCATGGGCCGACTGAGCATGCTCGGACTGAGGGTCACCACACCTGGATGAAGGAGAGGAAGGGGTCAAACGTCAGAAGACGGCGCCAGAAACATAAATACTGAAATACACACAAAAACGGACGATCGCACAGACACATGAACAGACACACAGACACAGACACACACTCACACACACTGACATACTACTACAGATAGATTTTCCCACACTCTGTCATTGTTTACCAGAGCTAAAGTTTAATCCTAGTCTAAAACAAGTCTTTATGGGGATGGAGAAACTGTATTTATGTAGTTTGTTAGTGCTGCCGCAATAGAAAAAACCCTCTCTTCCTCTAATAAATGTCCCATAGCAGGACAAAGTGGTAACAAAAGTGTCTTAAAACCCTTTATTACAGTGAGTCTATAAAAGACCAGGGATGGATGACCACTGTCTCCTCTCCAATTCTGTGATCATCACAAAAACAGTTGACAGAGCTGCCGAGGAATTTAACTGCACTCTCAGCTTTCCAGGTGAATTACACCCAATAAACAGAGCAATTCCCCTCCGATATTGACTTTTAAAAGCATTGATGGGAAAACAGGACTGGGCTCAAGGTCTACCGCCCGTCACACACCCAGCGTTTTATAGGTCCTGGGAGAAGGATTTTCCATCCTCCACCCTGCAATAATTGCTACAGATAATATACTCTACAATATACTGTTTATCTGAGAATGAGGTATAATAAAATATGCAATATGAAATTACATGCAGGGCAAAGTCATATTGTTAGTTTCACTTCTTTACATTTTGTCAATTTACTTTTTTGTTGTCTAATCTAATCTTGTCATCTAATTAAATGATTCCTTTAAATGAAACTAATTCAACTCAAACTACTTTCGACACAGCTCATTACATTTCCTGTTGATGTAATGTGGGGTTTCAGGCTTTGTGTTGGTGTGGGGGACCCATGTTCCGTCTGGCCTTACAGAGTGCATGGGTTTCCTGGGTCTAGCTGCTCCTACATGCTCTGATGCAAATGTTCCCACCACAGTAAGCTCAGACCCTGACAATAACAGGAAATGCTGTGTTCCTCTAACCTAAACATCAACTACACACACTCATACACACACACACACACACACGTACACTGCTCTGAGCTCAGTGTCCCCTCAGAAGGAAGAAACCCACTGTGCTGAACACAGGGTCACCAGTAGAGAGCACCTCTTTGTCTGGAAACACACACACGGACACAGACACGCACATGCACACACACACACATACAGATGCATTTATCACCACATTTCGGTGTTCTGGTACCTTTTCCTCCACTGATGGGTTTGAGGTAGAGAGCCAGCTCCTCCACACACACCCTGCACACCTCATAGTGATCTACCTCCACAGCACTGCTCAGAGACACAGGCTGGGACTCCACAGCCTGGGAACACACAACATCATCAACATTATCATCACAATCATCATCATCATTATCATTATCATCATTATCACCCCAATCATCACCATCATTATCACCCCAATAATCCAAATCATCATCATCATTATCACCCCAATCATCCCAATCATCATCATCATTATCACCCCAATCATCCCAATCATCATCATCATTATCACCCCAATCATCCCAATCATCATCATCACCCCAATCATCATTATCATTACAATCATCATTATCATCACAATCATCATTATCATTATCATCACAATCATCATTATCATTATCGTCATCATCGTCATCAGAAGAAGAAGAACCACAACAACAATAACAACAAAAACAACAACAAGACGTGCTGTACCCACCTGAGCTCCCACCAGCTGTAGCAGGGCACAGTTGACTGGCAGGAGGTCGATGTCAGTGCTGATGGCAGTCTGGTCGAAGGGGCAGGCCTTGCGGTGCAGCTTGTGCAGACAGGTCTTACACACGGTGTGTGAGCAGCCCAGACTGATGGGCTTGTGGCCGTTGCTGTCAAACTCGTTGTAGCAGATGGGGCAGGAGAGGAACTCTGTCCATTGGGCCGCCTGCACTGGCATCCTGCTGCCTGTCCTGACTGCTGTCACCTCTGGAGGGTGCTGTCTTGCTCAGAGGGATCGCATGCCACCACGCCCCGACAGCTCACTTACAACTGGTGGAGAACCAGGTGCAATGCTCCATAGATCTGTCCCCTAGTGGCTATAGACGATCAGAATCTGGGAAAATAAAGTAGAGCGGTGAGCGGTTATCTCGCCACACTTTTTCTTTCTTTGCCTCAATCTCACTCTCTTCTACACCTCTCTCATCCACTGCCCACTACCATCTCTAACAGAGGTGGTTTGCTGAACCACGCTCTCATGATGAGTAACCTTGTCCTGAGACCCGAAGACTTGTGTTAACTCCCTGGTCTAATGCATAGGCTTTAGCTCAGCGGGCTAACACAGTCTTAGGGAACACAGGCACCATGAAATTAGAACCCCAGTTGGTCACACACCCACAACCCCACCCATTCTGCCGCAGCTCCACCGTCTCTCTGATGCTTTCCCTGCCAGTCCATCATGCCTCCTCCTGGGCAAGCTGGTGGAGAGGCCTCCCTTGGCTGGCTACAGACCCTGGAGGTGCTCTGCCATGGAATGGTCCTATCAGTCTGATTTACACACTGACTGAGTACCAGGCCAGATTTGCACCTCTCTCTCTCTCTCTCTCACTCTCTCTCTCTCACTATGCACTCCGCTACAGGGCACAAGATTATAAATACTCAGAGTGAAACCCAAGACAGCAACAGGATCAGTATGGGCACAGAGAGAGAGACAGGGATTGAACCAGAATCAGGTTTTACGGGAGACGTAGATATGGCGAAGCTCCTTTAAGCCCAGGAAGCAGCCATTTAACTTGCCATTAACCAGCTTTTCAAGCTTAATAATGTCAAAACACGTTAGTTACTGACCAAATATGGAGTTTCGATTAGCAGCTATAGTCATGTACTGCTGTCACAGCCGGTATGTACTTCCAAAAAAGGTCTAAATAAAAAGTTACATGCAACCAAAAAAATGCCTCTTCGGCAGCTCCTTTGTATTGTAGATTTGTAGGCAGTAAAATGAGTGCTGTCCAGGATCCATCATTTTTACATTACATTTTAGTCATTTAGCAGACGCTCTTAACCAGAGCGACTTACAGGAGCAATTAGGGTTAAGTGCCTTGCTCAAGGGCACATCAACGTCATTTAGCAGACGCTCTTAGCCAGAGCGACTCACAAATTGGTGCGTTCACCCTATAGCCAGTGGGATAACCACTTTACAATTTGGGGGGGGGGGGGGGGGTTAGAAGGAATACTTTAGCCTATCCCAGGGACTAAAGCGATTGGAAGTACATACCGGCCGTGACGGCAGTACATGACGATTGTTAAGATTGAAATGCTGGTGAATGGCAAGTTGAATGGCTGCTTCCTGGGCTTAAAGGAGATTCGCCATATAAACGTCTCCAGTAAAGCCAGATTCTGGTTCAGACAGAGACAGAGAGAATATGCTCATACAGCCAGTTGTAGCCAAATGGATAAGGATCATTGCTGCAGTGGATCTGGCCAATAAGCAAGTCTGTGCAAGGCTTTAGTTTAGACCATGAGGTTCTGTACAAAGCAGTAAAAGCACCCGGGAGCCACGACAGAAATAACTTTCCTGCATGCAACAGCTGCACCGACAGACCAGCAACTGCTGGGTGGAACCAACTGCTCCATCATCACCCCTCATCCAATGCATGGCATGAGGATGTTGCATCAGGCAGGCCCAGAGATGGCTCTACAAGGCTAAACCTGTACTGTCTTACTGTCATGCTGAGTTCAGTTATGCAACAAAGGAATGCACTGCTGTTCACAATCAATCATTGTGCAAAGAGAGGGAGACACCATGCACCTTGACCCCAAGGATAGGAAAGTGTGCGTGTGTGCGCGCCTTCACGTGTGTAACTAGAAAATGCCATCATGTTGTAAAAACAATAATTTAACTCAACTCAAGAATCTCAGCCAACTCGAAAATGAAACGTTGCATAAATTATAAACATGCCTACAATTCTATCTACTAAAAGATCAAGCAGGTCAAGCTTTTTCCCCACCAAATGATGCACCATCCAAATGGCCCAGTGTGCGCGGTGTCCACATAGCCTCTCCGGCGTGGACAACTCAGTGATGATCTTGGCGTCATGTTTCCGCGAGGGTGCTCATTCTGAATATAACGCCACGAGCTTCACGCAGTCACTGGCTCGCTGACCAAAGTGAAAATGCAAGTAAAGGCTACAGGGGGAACATTTTTGGAGAGCTGAAGTTAGATTTGTTGACGCGCCGAAGCCACTGGGTGGGGAAACCGCAAATATAATTTCAACCACAGTGAGTGATTCAGTGTCACGTTGAAACCACCTCTTCCTGACTGTAAACTACAGCGACATATCCTGTTGTTCGCGGCAGATTGACTACGGCGGCATTTTCTGAGCTAAACTGATCAAGACGCACCTCCAACAACAATACATAAAACCTCACAGAATTACAATTTCTCTCGACCAGTGACATATGGGCTTTTTAGTTGAGCGCTGATGGCGCCCTTTGATAAGCAGTGCCCACTTTGCCAAAGGCAGGGGCGCAAAATATTTTGCTTGTCCATTCCCAGCGCGCCTCTCCAGGGTGCTGTTGGAGAGAAGCATCTCTGCAGCGCTCCAGCAAACGTTCCTTCCAAAAAAGTTTCTAACATAAATCATGTAGCAGATATAGGATATGGTATAAATAGAATGTGGCCTTTTCTGTAGCCTACAGGCTGGAGATAAAATGTATGTCAATGTAATTAGACGGACACTTTTTACACCATGCAGGTTTCTCCGATCAAATAGCCTTACCTAAATGACGCTCAATCAAATAAAAAATGGTCAGGTCAAAGTAAAATGGACAATATGGAATGGACAATCACAACTGTTGTCCAAGAGTTTCACCCCATTGTCATGGTCAGTTGTTTCAAGTTTGTATCCGTACATTTTTGACAAGCTGATCATAGCGAAGAAGAAAACACTTCTGCATTTCCCGCGGTGTATACAAATAGGCTCGCGATAACTCCTGATAAAAGTTGGGTAGCTGATATTCAGAGCCCACATGGATGGGCATTCATAAAATGCCATTGCAGGCCGACATGGTAGGCTACACCCCAGTAAGCAAGAGCCGACATCTTTTGGATGTATTTTTTTGGTCTCCTGACATCGTTTTATGGTGTTTTACAAACGGTATGCTTACCACATAGATGGGCATTCATACAATTACATTTCAGAGAACACTGTAGGCTACACCGCAGTAAGCAAGGGCAGATGCCTTTTGGACGTCTTTTTTTGGTGCAGTTCCTGACCAGCCTTGATTTCCATATCCACCGACATTGGTTTTTGGTCTGGTCCAGACCAAATCTGAACCAATCATAGACATCTATGTTTGGTTCAGATTTTGTCCGGTCTGGACCAGCCTTGATTTGGCCCAAATATAGACATCTATAAATTACTTATTTTCAACTTTCATCAAGAACCAAAAATGAGCCTGATTTCAACATCCAGAAAATACATATTTTCAACATCCATAAAATATATTTTTCAACGTCCTGGAAAATATGTATTTTAAACATACGGAAAATACCTTTTCACCTTTCATTCAGAACCTAAATTGAACCTAACTTCAACTTCTGGAAAATACGTATTTTAGATGTCTTATATACGTCTTACTGGGGCTATTCTAGCTTTGCGGGAGGCCGCATTCTTTGGTCTCGCCTTAGGCGGCAGAACCGTAAGGACCTGCCCTGATCTCCTCGTGATATACAATCTTATACAATCAGTAACAGATGTGATAAACTATATATAAACAAGAGGAAATGGCATGTTCATCATCTGGTGACTACTGTGGGTGAAAAAAGGGGATATCTGTCCTCCTACACACACACGCACCCACACACAGTCTTCCACCAGAAGATAATTTACATTTAACATGTGGCTCTACCCATTTGGCTCTACAGTCATGGTCAAAAGTTTTGAGAATGACACAAATACTAATTTTCACAAAGTCTGCTGCCTCAGTTTTGATGATGGCAATTTGCATATACTCCAGAATGTCATGAAGAGTGATCAGATGAATTGCAATTAATTGCAATGTCCCTCTTTGCCATGAAAATGAACTTAATCCCCAAAAAACATTTCCACTGCATTTCAGCCCTGCCACAAAAGGACCAGCTGCCATCATGTCAGTGATTCTCTCGTTAACACAGGTGAGAGCGTTGACTAGGACAAGGCTGGAGATCAATCTGTCATGCTGATTGAGTTAGAATAACTCTTAAAAGGAGGGTGGTGCTTGAAATCATTGTTCGTCCTCTGTTAATCATGGTTACCTGCAAGGAAACACGTGCCGTCATCATTGCTTTGCACAAAAAGGGCTTCACAGGCAAGGATATTGCTGCTAGTAAGATTGCACCTAAATCAACCATTTATCGGATCATCAAGAACTTCAAGGAGAGAGGTTCAATTGTTGTGAAGAAGGCGTCAGGGTGCCCAAGAAAGTCCAGCAAGCGCCAGGACCGTCTCCTAAAGTTGATTCAGCTGCGGGATCGGGGCACCACCAGTGCAGAGCTTGCTCAGGAATGGCAGCAGACAGATGTGAGTGCATCTGCACGCACAGTGAGGCAAAGACTTTTGGAGCATGGCCTGGTGTCAAGAAGGGCAGCAAAGAAGCCACTTATCTCCAGGAAAAACATCAGGGACAGACTGATATTCTGCAAAAGGTACAGGGATTTGACTGCTTAGGACAAGGGTAAAGTCATTTTCTCTGATGAATCCCCTTTTTCCGATTGTTTGGGGCATCCGGAAAACACCTTGTCTGGAGAAGACAAGGTGAGCGCTACCATCAGTCCTGTGTCATGTCAACAGTAAAGCATCCTGAGACCATTCATGTGTGGAGTTGCTTCTCAGCCAAGGGAGTGGGCTCACTCACAATTTTGCCTAAGAATACAGCCATGAATAAAGAATGATACCAACACATCCTCCGAGAGCAACTTCT